AGATCAGATGGAGCTCAATCTGATATAACTACCTCTGACAACAAAGAATGTCAAGTAAGTACTGGCAACCAAGTCAAAAGTTGGCCAGCAAAAGGAAAGCTAGGTGCCAGCAAACTGAGTGTAAAATATGTTGTAGTACACAAGAGTGATGCTGCAGATTGGGTGACCACAAACCATAAGTCTACTGTGGCAACTGTTCTTGGGAAGATCGTCTATGTTGTTGGAATCAAGGCCAAATTTGACTTTAGGACATATATTTTTTATCAGACTATGAAGCATACAGGCAACTATAGCATCAAAGGCCCTAGTGCATTACCTTCACTCATCTGTGGCATCATTTTGAATCAGTATCCAAACATCCTCAAGAAAAGTGATGATGCAAGCAAAAGAGAAAGCCCCTCATCCCTTCATCACAAGCTGTTTCAAGGAAATCATGTCCCAGACATTGCCTTGACATCTGCTGAGACATCCAAAGGGAGTCTCAAGACCAGAAAAGGTGATGAAATTATAATGCTCAAAGAAACCTGCAAGGAATTGGAAACAAGGAAGCAAAATCTTGAGAAAATGATCAGATCTCTTGAGCACGATGAAGAATCTGAATTTAATAATAATGATGAGGGTTCAGGAAAGGATGATGGTCAGGAAGATGCTTCAGAAGCAGCTGCTGCCAGTTCAAAGGAAGCCACTGATAAAGCAGGAGAGAGTAATGAAGAATCTGAGGAGGCCAGGTCCGAGTCTGCCTCTGAGGAGGAAGATTAATGTGCTGATGGCCTGCTATGAGGCTCAGGAAGTAGGTGCCTGAGCTGATGTGGGTGTGCTGCTGGTGCTGGTGTAGCTAGTGATTTTTTTCTTGCTTTAGATTTTAATCCTTATTTGACAACATTATTGTGTGATGCTCTCCATGAGCCGTTTTTGCTTGTAATGAACCCAAACCTGTGTAATGTTACTCATTATGATCCAGACTATTTTATTAGTTTGATCTTAATTTGTGGCCAAAAAGGGGGAGAGGGAGTGGTAAATAATAGTCAGCAGGTTAGAGATGATGCAGGTGGAAGACTGCAGGTGGAAGACTCTTGGCTAAATTGCTGCTGCAAGTATGTTGATGCAGGTGTGTGACAAGGGCTGCAGCAAATATGCATGATTGAAGATTATGCTAATGTGTTTGTGTGATAACAGCTGATGCTGTTAGTGATGTGTGAGTTCCTAATGAGTATAGGAATGTATGTGAGTTCCTTGATGGAACCTAGTAGCCTGCCTTATAGCTGCTAGTGCTGTGTGTATCTGCAGGATGATTGTAGAATGTTGTGCATCTCTTCAGGGGGAGTAGCACAGGTTGTTCCACAGCAGGTGTGCTTCAGGATGTCATCCTGAATGTCATAACATCCAGAGCAGGCTGGATGAATATGTGTGACTGCAGGGTGTCTGCAGGTTTTGTACAGCTGGTGTGATATGCATCAGTTGAGGGGGAGTAACCTAGTGTGTTACTCAACAAAGATTGACATTTGTAGTGGTAACCAACAAATGATTAACAAGGTGAGCTACAACAGGGCTGAGAGCTAACTGAGAGGACTCTGAGAGAGTGTAGCTAGTAACTTTCCTGCAGAACAGGGCATATGATAAGTCTTCTGCTGTGTGTAAATCTCTGGTATAAGAACATAGTGTTTTAGCCAAAAATTTGTCAAAGGGGGAGTTTGTAAGTGCTCTTGATTGGCTGCATTTTGTGGCAAAACACTAGAGCATGTATGTATATCATGACTGATGTTAGTGCATACATAACATGGTCTATGCAGGGTAAGTTGACTTAGCTAAAAGCAAGTTACGCTGGATGTCGTACCCAATGTTATGACTAGGGTCGTATGACATCAAGCGCAAGTTTGTTTTTCTGGTAGCTATAAACTAGGAAACAGAATAGGAGCTCAAGCTGGATATCATGAGAATTTCTAAAAGCCCTAGGCGAACTAAAATATCCCTGAAATAAGTGGCAAGCGTGCAGATCAGTGAAAATAGGTTTGTTATAAATAAAACCTAATTTATGCACCAAGGCCCAAAGGACTAACAACTACTATAAATATCAGAAGAAGCAATCCTGAACAGCAGCTATTGACAGAAGAATAGAGAGTGGAGATTGTAGATTCCTTGTGAGTGAAGAAGGCTAGTCTTCACGTGTGAATTCTGTTTAGGAATACTTGTACTCCAAGCAATTGTCTAGTGGATGATTGCATTGGATATGCAGATTCTAGGTTGTGTCTCGCTCAAAGCTGTGAAGCAAGAGTGTGTGAGTTCCTTGATCAAAGTTGTGAAGCAAGATCAAGGTGTGTATGAAGTATCTCTTCATATTTATTCTGTATTTGTGAATTGTATATCACTATGGTGATTGAGGGGGAGTGAGTGAGTATACTCAGATCTAGAGTGTCTCTATGTTGAAGTGTCATTGGGTAGGTTTTAAGTGAGGAGTGCAAACTGTGTTGTTTGACTCTGAATTAATTATGCAAATAGTGAATTTCCTCCCTGGCTTGGTAGCCCCCAGATGTAGGTGTTGTTGACACTGAACTGGGTGAACAATTGCTGTGTTATTTACTGCTTTTACTTACAGAGTTATTAGTTAGTACGGTAGTCAATGTCACAGTGGATGTTATAACTTTGGTAATAACATCCATCGTGTGCTTTCCAGAATTTTCAATCATGACCCTAGCCTTGCCATCATCATGCATTTAATGTAGCACACATCTCGAGGCACACATGGCATCCCCACTCTTCAGATCCCATCAATCGTTGGGCTCCCCGGATCCCAAGATCCCCGACACCAACATTCATGGTGCCTGGTCAAGTGTTCATCTGAACACAAGGAAGCCCACAGCGACTACGCCCGGTATGCAGGTCATCCTTAAGTCATCACCACCGTGCCCGGTAACAACGTCTTAGGGGGCTACTGTTCCAGACTAGCCCAATAGCTAGGCATGACCCAACCCACTTCTGCTTCCAGAACGATCCAAATTGTCTAGGTCCAACCTCTTTGGGAGAAAGTTTACCTTTTTGCCCCTTCAACAGGGGAGGCTGACCTATTTACCCTTGGTCACAACACTTCTCCCCGTTAGTCTCTACCCGTTACGCACGGATCCACCGTCAGTCTCTGCCCGTGTCAATAGCTAGTTATGGGCACGTCTGCTCGTCCCAACGGCTATTTCTGGCAGTTACCTATTCTTCGGGAAACCGTTATCTCGCCTCGAAAACAGGGACCAATAGCCAAGCGCTGGGGGCATTATAAAAACCCTCTCATTTAAGGGGGTCATGTATCCAATTTCTCACCTTGAAACACAAATATTTTGTACTTGCTCGCTCTCTTGCTTGTTTTCTTACTTTAGCATCAGAGTGCCTTGCAAGTACACCCCGTCTTCCTCTTTCACACCCAGCATCACCGACATTTGTCCTTAACCCATCTCAAATTCTGTTCGTTCGGTAAGATCACAATCCTTGTTGTTTCTTCTTGTTGTTTTCCCTTATTTTCTTTTTAACCCTAATCCTTGTGTATTTCTTGTCCATAAAGAAACCATTTATATTTTGCTTTAAGGCATTCTATTCACAATAGTCTGCCAACTTATGCACAATCCAAAAGTTTCTCATTGGACAATAGTTAAATGAATTCTTAAACATCTACAAGGAACCACAAGCTTTGGATTAACTCTTATAAGTTCAAATAATCTTACAATCTTAGTCATGTATGATGCAAACAGGGGCTCATATCCGGATGACTTGTGCTCAAATACATGTTATTATGTTTATTTATGTAACAATCTTGTATCATGGTCTTTCAAAAAGCAAACAATGGTTTCTAGGTCAAACACTGAAGCTGAATGCAAAATCATATAAGTTTCGTCTTCTGAAATTTTATGGCTTCAATCCCTTATATACAAGCTACATCTCTCGTTATCAACACAACCTACACTATACTATGACAATCTAAGTGTTATTTTCCTTGCTTCCAACCCTACCTCACACTTTAGTATCCAACATTTTAAATTAAATCTTTGCCTCATTAAAGAGAAAATAAAAATTAAAGTTGTCAAAATTCTTCATATATTAGCAATCGAACAATCTGATGACATCCTTACCAAACTAACTTCCATCTCTACTTTTCTTAAGTTTCAAACCAAATTCAAAGTTTACAAGTTTTTCTCGAGTTTACAAATGGATATAATACCCCTATAATCACTCTAGTTAGTTACAACAACTCCTAAATTATTACAATCAATGTTTTTTTATTGCTATATAAATTTTGTATCTCTTTGTAACAAATTAATTAATAATCATTTGCTTCAATAAATTGATTTATAATTTATTATTTTTTTCCCATCTAAAAACACTAGTTAACGTTACTCTTATTTATTTATATTCAATCCAATTTTTATTTTCGAAGCAGATACTTTTTCATCATTCAAAATTCATCCGCACACATTAATTCATTTTGTATATTAAATTCAATATATATATATATATATATATATATATATATATATATATATATATATATATATATATATATATATATATATATATATATATATATATATATATATATATATATATATATATATATATATATATATATATATATATATATATATATATATATATATATATATATATATATATATATATATATATATATATCCAAATGCACCAACCCAACTTTTGTAAAAAAAAACCAAAAACCAGTTTAAAATCATTTTAGTACACTGGACCAGATCAGATTAAGCCCAATATCATATCCATATAAATATCAACTTCAAAACCCTAACTCGCCTCCTTCCTTGTTACATCCAGGAGCAGCTCTTCAAACAGGTACCAACACTACTACTGCAATTTTCTCTGCGCTGTTCTCTCTATCGTTTTCGATTTTCAATTCCTTTGTTCACTATTGTGAATCAAATCTAGTTGCGCAAAATTTATCTCTGAATCTAGCTAATGTCTGTGTTATGTTTTACGTGTTTTTCAGAGACGAGATGGCCGTTCCTCTGCTAACCAAGAAGATTATCAAGAAGCGTGTCAAGAGGTTCATCAGGCCTCAAAGTGACAGGAAAATATGTGTCAAGGTTAGTAAAAGAAATATCATTGCTCAGACATGATAGATGTTTTCAACATGTTTGTAATTTTATGTTTAATTTTTATGCTTGCAAATTGTTGGATCCATGTTGTGTCAAATGGTTTTAGGGTTTAGGGTTTTCATAGTCTCAAATGGTTTAGAATATAGTGTTTTTATTTTATTTGCTGTTTTGTTTATGCTGGTTAAATCTATTGTGCAAATTGAGTCTGGTTTTTGTGTTTTGATCTTTTTCTGTTGTGGTATGTAGCAAAGCTGGCGCAGACCCAAGGGTATTGATTCCCGTGTTAGAAGAAAGTTCAAAGGAGTTACGTTGATGCCCAACATTGGTTATGGTTCAGACAAGAAAACCCGTCACTATCTCCCTAATGGGTTCAAGAAGTTCCTTGTCCACAATGTCAAGGATTTAGAACTCTTGATGATGCACAACAGGTAGCTTATTAGTCTTGTTACATTTTGATTATCAGTTTCTTATTTTCCCTTTATTGCATCATTCTGAGTTTGTTTAAATTGAATAAACTTCAGGACATACTGTGCTGAGATTGCACACAATGTGTCAACTAGGAAGAGAAAGGACATTGTTGAGCGTGCAGCACAATTGGACATTGTTGTCACTAACAAACTTGCTAGACTTCGCAGTCAAGAGGACGAGTGATTTCTTTTTGCAGTATGTTAAACTATTTTTGCTTTGGTTGTTTTTTGTATGAACATGGAAGAAACTCTTCGGAATGGTTGTTTGATGAGTTAATCTGCTTAATCCTAGAAATTTTGTATTTGGCTACCTAAGTTATATTTTGATTCTGGTTTTTTGACACAATCTTTTGCTCTCTTTCAACAACGGTCTAGCATTACTGTGATTTGTGCCCCTGGTTTTTGATGTGTGATTATAGTATATTCTTGCTTATGTTTTTAGTATTATTATTAGCCACAGATTTTGTTCACTGTCTGATATATGCATATGTTGGTTGAACTTGATTGCACGCGCCACATTGTGTTTTGTTACAAGTCTTTCTATTCTCTTAGCATCTTTTTAGCACAACTGTCACGTTTGACACAGTTCCGAAAGGTTTACAGTGATGATGATTATAAAATTATAAAATTTATGACCTTCATCGGATATCAAAATCAAACTCACCACCAAACAACAGCTGATATGTTCTTTTCTTTTGAAAAAGAGATGCTGGGTGTTTATGACTATGAAAGTTGGTGTCTTAAATTTCCACTTATAAAAATTTATTTTTTAGTTAACTTGTCTACAAACCGCACTTAACTTATGTTATTGAACATTATAAGTTATTTAATTAATTTGGTAATTCATAAAACAACTTTTAACTTTTGTGTAATTGAACTTTATAATTGGGCAATTAATGGCATAATATTAAAAGGTTTAATTGCAATTATGGTCCCTCTATTTTGTATTTTTGAGTTTTGGTCCCTTATTTAAAATTTTGATTAATTAATTAATTATAAAAATTAATAATAAAATATTAATCATTAAAAAAGTTAAGCGAAAGAGAGTATTTGCCTTTATTTTACTCTTTCATGGTGCGCGCCCATCAAAACTGACATATGGCATATGACTTAATAATAATAATAATAATAATAATAATAGTAATAGCCTTAAATTATTGTTCAGGATGCATTAGAACATGATGATATATTTAATTTGTAAAACTAACTAATCTTTAATTTGTAGCCTGTTTTGGAGTCCGTGGTTCTTCTAAAAGATAAAGGATCAAATTGAAATTTTTTAAAGATAAAGGAGCAAAATAGATTCCTAGGTAAAGATAAGGGACTAAAAATGATATTTATATTTTACAATTCTATATAAGGAGATTATTATGATTTATATTTTACAACTTTATTATGGTACATTTGTTAATTTATATAATTCAAAGACTATTTTCATTGACATTTGAAATTTTGTAGATCAGTTTACCTGTTTATTTATTCAAACTTCTGTCTATTTATTCAAACATTTGGAATTTTGTAGATCAGTTTACCTGTTTATATTTATTAATTCGAATTCTTTTTTCCCAAACTTCTGTCTGTATCCACATATCATATTCTATCTACAACAATTTTATAGGAAGTTCAAGTTTCTGTTTATGTTGCATTGCAGTTTCTTTCTGGCACTAGAATAATCTTGGAAATAGGTATAATAGCTTCCTAAACTTGACAATCTTTGATGAAACTACATCTAATACTTTTTAGAACTTAAATTTATCTCGACAATCTTTGATGAAACTTCATCTAATGCTTGGTGTTTTAGAACTCCAATCTATAAGAATTTTAGTTAAAAATCCACTTGTTCTTTTCTCAACACCTATTCAATTTTGCTTTTTTATTGTCTTTTTTCAATTTTTTTCTTCAATTTTATTATTATTATATTAGAGTGATAAGATCAAAAATGGAATTTTTTACTCAAATAATCCAGTTTTTGAAAAAAATTCTCAAAATAACCCACATTTCAAAACTATTCTCAAAGTACCCTAGTTAGGGTTTAGGATTACACAAGGGCGCCAGATGAATTGGCGACACCTTGTTAAGGCTATAAATGAGTCACCAATTGGTCTGAAGACTCCTCATGTAGTCTCCAGTCTAATTGGAGGCTGAGTGTTGTACTTAAAAGGGTGTCGCCAATTCATCTAGAGACCCCTTGTATTTTAAATTTTTTTTCTATAAGTAGAGGTGTTCCAATCATTTACTTCCACATTTCATCTGATATCTTTGTTCTGCTGATAACATGTATCGTCGCCGGTGAGGAAAAGTCGTCTATTCGAGAGAGAAGCCTCCGATGGACATGTTGTTTTGGAACATACAAAGTTTTAATCAACTTAAGAGGGAGCTGAATCGATGGTTGGAAGGAGACATTGGTGAAGGGGAAAAGATTCGTAGTATTGAGAGACTTGATCGACTGCGTGATGAGTTCATGTTAAGACCGACAAAGATGCGAGTGAAGTTATGTTTGGACCGAATGAAATTAGTTTGATTGTTGTAATCAGTTATGAATGTCATAATCACCTAGTTAACATTTTATGTTTTATGAAATTAGTATGTGTTGTGTGTTGTTAGTCTTGTTTTTTGTTAAGACCGTTGTAACAAAGAATCATCAATATATGAAAATATTTGGTTACAACAAATGAAACTATAAGCTAAATCATGATGCAGATGTGCCTCCGACATTGGGACTTTTTTTTTGGTTGTGTCCAGACTGACAACATATACTGCACAATCTTATTATTTTATCAGCCGTATCCATTTCGGTTCTTATATGCTTACTGTTTATGCCTCCCTTTTTCTTTCTTCTCATGTTATCATTATGCCAAACTATGTCACCTTGGTATGGAGGCCAATGATCCTCCATTGGTAGTACTGTGAAGCCTTCGTTGTATACGTTCATAACATTAATTGCCTTGTAGACATCAGATAGATAGCCATAAGCATCCTGATGAGCATGTGTGCATGCCACAATGACATGTGAGGAAGGTACACGGAAGGCCTGATACTTGCCACAGTCACACCAACATCTGTTTAGTCTGACGACATAGGATAAATTGGGTCTCCCCTAATTATGGTCTATTGTTTCTTGTACACTGAATGTTTGCCTATGACGATCGAAGATTGTAACTGCATGTGTGCTGGCTCTGATAGTATCCTCTTTCATCAATTTCATAATGCTTTCACTGAATACTTGACCGGACGTTAACATTGCACTTCATCTCTCGCCTCTTGTTGCGAAAATTGATGCCAACCTATAATATGTTGATCTCACCAAAGCGGTGATTGAAAGGTTTCTAATTCCTTTAAATACCCCGTTCATGGATTCCACAAGGTTTTTCATCATGTGGCCCCAACAACATCCACCATCAAACGCCCTTGTCCACTTTTCGAGCGGAATGTTGCCTAACCAACTTTCTGCATCTGCATTTGACATCCTAATTTCGTTAAGGTAGTATTGAAATGTTGATTGAGTTAGAGCATACACGACATTCACAACTTTTTTACGAAGGTTCTTGTCTTTGATTGCACGCATGAAGTTTTTGTGCAATATGTCTAATGCAATACACATGGGTAGAAGGAGGATTATGCCACCCATTATCATGGTTATCGTACGTACTCTCTATAGAAGCATGCCTGTCTAAAATCAAATAGAGGTTGACTTGTGAAGCACATGTGTTCTGAGATTCTTAAGGAAGAAACTCCAAGCAGAAGCAGTCTCACCCTTAACCAGAGCAAAGGCTCTGGGAAAGACATTATTGTTACCATCTTGTGCAACAACCATAAGCAACGTGCCATTGTATTTTCCGTAGAGCCATGTTCCATCAATTTGAATAACAGGTTTGCAGAATGCAAAACCTCTTATGCATGGTTGAGACGACCAAAAAAGACGGTGAAATATGACATTTCCATCAACAGTTGTTCCATCTGGCCTACATGCAGGCACTGTCTGCATGATTGCAACAATTCCTGGTGTGTATGCCTTTAGCGCTACCAAAAATTATGGTAATTCTTTGTATGAATCCTCCTAGTTGCCAAATACTTGTTCAACAGCCTTTGTCCTTGCAACTCACGCCTTCTTGTATGATGAAGTATAATTATACCGTGTTATGATATAAGAGATTATTATACTCACCTTGACTGAAGGATCCTTGTTAACAAGTGGCAATATGTATTGACATATTAATTCCGCACTTAACTTTCGGTGATCCTGAAGAATATTTGTGGCAGTGCAACTGTGAGGTGGCTTTATGGAAGCTATCATCCAAGAATCGCTTCTCTTGCTGTAAGACGCAACAAGCCGAAACTTGCAAAGTGGATTATGACAAATAATGACATACCGTCTCGAATCAGTTCGCTGTATATTGAAATCATCAGACTTATCCATGTGATATTTTTAATGGATCGTACACAGTCTGTTAGAACACAGATTGGTTCTTAATAATATCTCTATGTTTTGATGATAACTATTATGAAATTTTGTAATTAAGAATTGTATACTCTAAAATTTGCTTAAGAGTGTTTGCTGCAGATATCAAAATAATTATCACTCCAGAAGCAAATCAGAACTGAACATAAGAAATATGCTAGACTCTGAAGCACCAGATGCATCCATTAGAAGATTCTGAATGCTGCCAACAGAAGATTCTGAGCGTAACCTCCAGAAGGATCTGAAGTAGAAGCTACAGAAGAATCTGAAGCAAGTCAGAAGCATCTGAACCAAAGAAGAATTCTGTATGAAGAGTTTTCAAAGCATAGTTACTACAGAAGATTCTGAAAGTACTAAAGCTGCCAGTACTGAGGATCTGACTCAAATATGCTCTGAACTTACACACGCTAAAAGCACACCTGCTGCAGAAGACTCTGATTCAGCAAAACTCTGATCTAACATCAGAAGGCTCTGATCAAATTAGACTCTGATGGATCTTGCTGAAATTTGAAGAAGAAGAATTCAAAGATTATGTCCGTTGGAATAATCCAAACGACTCTTTCCTTTTTTATGCTAGACACAAGAACACAGACAAAAAGGATTTCTCTGTGCTTTCTTCTTCTAGGAAAGGTCACTTGATGTGAAGACAAAAAGGCTCAGACCTTTTGGACACTCTTCTCAACGTGAAGCTCTCTTGGATCAGCTGCCTATAAAAGTAAGTCTTC